ATGCACGCTTCATGTTTTCATTCAGCTAGGTGGCTGCATTTGATCCTTCTGATAAGTGCTCTGCTACACGAAGCTTACACACCATATTACGGAGATCCGGTTGGCTACGAACCGAGCATTCTATCTAAGCAGACTCAAGGATTGGGGATAATCGGATATGCGTTTCCTCCTAGGATACGTGCTAGCTTAGCGTAATTTGAGAAACTGTCGGCAATTACCAACGAAGTGAATTTGATTGTTTTTGAGGGATAGAATTTTCCCCACAAACGGAGTGTAGGAAATTCGCAATGGTTATGGAAAGTTGTTCGGGGCAGAGCTGATGGGTAAATTAGGTTGGGCATATGTCAGCAAGCTAGGCTGGTTGTTATGATGTTACTTATGGGGCAAGCAATCTAGTTGCAACACCGGCTTGGTATAAACCTCGCACAGTCATGCGTTTCAACGTATCATTTTGTAACTTTAAAATAACACTTCCGTCCAATGACTTACTGTCGGCGAAATTTGCGGATGTTCTGGTAGGAAAAGTAGCATGTTTAAGTTATACAATATGGAGCGCAATGTCAATTCCTTATCTCTCAATAATTGCTAGAAAAAGCATCTGTAAATATCGTACCTAACCACATCTGGTAACTTGAAAATACACCATATATTTGGTATGATAAAGGATGGAAAACGATATTCACCCTCATCTATGCAGTTACTCTATTAGCGTTCATTATAAGTAGATCGTACCACACTAGGCAATTCAGTTGTATCAGGAACATTATACTGACTCATTAGAGGGTCATTAAGGCATGACGCGAATGATGGGATGAGAATCGAGCAAGACCACACTCGCTTGAATGCTAGGCACATCAATGCTGGTGATGAGTTCAGCGTCATCAAAAGTAAGCGCGATTCGTGATACTCCCTGTCAGACAACACACAAGTTCAGCTGATATCCACTGAATGAGTATAATTGTTACATAATCAATGTATATCCTGTCACACATCCATCAATTTCTAGTACATTCATAAAAAAACACGCAGCTTCGCTTCGATTAACATCAAGGTGTTCGAATTTGAATACAAAAAGTAAGCTATTGTTTTATAACGCCAAGTGCCAATACTTTTTCTGAACTTAAAGGATTCCACTTTAGAAGCGCTACTATGTTAATGACATTTGTGAGAGGAGCTGATGCTGTAAGTACGAAGCAACCACTCTCTAAATTCACTAGCTTAACGAAGATGCCTCCGTGTAAATGTACTTGAGCACCACCGTTACTTCTTCATTCTACCTTGCAGTGGACGACATGGAATTACCTCTCACCACTAGTCTGGATCCATGCGATACTCTATGCTCTGTGGATTATATAGACTGCTATCTTCCCGCTCAAACCACTGAGCCACCCAGCAGTAGGCTTGTCTACTTTTTTGACTGAATCTATTCGATACATCGGCAGCTACCCGTGAGTTGTTTGCCGAACCGTCTAGGTAAGCATGGAATATGCACCAGATATCCATACTAGCACAGTTTAATTTATAATGTCCCAAAGTTTGTGTGTCGGATATGGTGAACTTCGGCAAGTGCTTCTCGTTGAGTAGTAATATGTATACGACACAAATCATCATTGAACCCCAAACTGTGGGTTGCGGTTAAAATGCCAGTAAATGGGAATGTGTATATGTAAAAATCTCGATTTCTGAGTTTAAAGAATAAAACCTAGTTGTTCTGTGCGGTGATGTGTGTTACGTTACATCATGTGATATATGGTAGCTAGGAATTTTATTTCTTCTGACATCACTGGGCGTTCATACCATAAACCGTCGGTTTGTTGCTCCCACCTCAATGTACCATGATTGTAGAGCTGATCTGAGAAAGAAAAATAGTGTTTGCATAGTCACGTAGGTAGCAGGACAATCACAGGTATCAAGTAGGGTTGAAAGAATTGGGATTAGGACGTATATATACAGAGACGATCGTTCCTGCAGTTGTTTTCCCACAATACATATCAAAGTTAATAACATAAACAGAAATAGGATTATATACAGCAATTGACACTATCGCTGTGGGCTTACTACAACGCAGCATCAACAGAAAGCACATGTTGTGGGGGTAATCAAATAACTGCAGAGTGTTTTACTAATTGCATCCCAAACTAAGAGCGGCTGCACTCACGTGCTAACCTACCCTGGCACCCTGAAGTTTCAACTGTCCAAGGGCGCAAATTGCTTTAGCGAACGTGTCGGCAGGGGTGAGATGGGACACAGAGGCGGGCCTTGTGTGTCTGCGATAGTATGGCAAATCAAGGGAACGGAGGACGTATAGCTGTGATAAGTGTGTGTCAGCCAAACAGTGAAGCCGCACTGGACATGTCATGCTTTGATCGATTAGTAGTCGACTTTCTTGCCGGTGAAAACCCAGGAACTGGGATCCCTGCGAAATGGCTATTGGATCGTTGTTTTTGCAATGGAACAGGAGCTAACACCCGAGCCCTCGATGTAACTGCAACCGCTTTCACTTAATGCACCGGTGCATATGCGCATGATGTTGGTGCAGCTGTATGGTGAGTGTGGATCCAATGCGGCAGAAACCGCAAAGCTTTCTAACAATATGCACTGCGTTGCGCTGAACATTCTCGAGCGGTATTTGCGTCGAGTGGTGAAGTAATTTGCAGAAACTGACAGCGTTTGCAACAGCAAACAAAACGGACAGACTCGCACCGTGATGGATGAAGCATCAGCCAGCGCGGTTGTGCAAAATATATGTGGTGAGAGCCATCGCGACATTCGGAAACTCGCACAACATTGCGAAGCCACACCAAATGTGATGCATCGCATATGAAGGAAAATAGTTTTGTCGGTATAGTGCACTGTAGGTGCAAGTGTTGAAAACAGGCGTATTGCAGAAGCATTTGGTAATCGCCCGTTAGATTTTACACAGCCTGGACGTACATTCCATTGTGTTCACCGATGAGGCGGTTTTCCGTATACACGGCGAAGATAACCAACCTATATGAGTAACAACTAATCCACGGCAATGTAACGCTTTCCGTGTGCAACAGCGGGAAGCTCATGGCCTGGACTGGGCTGAATGGTCGGAAAGTCTTTGGGCGCTTTTCTTTTACCAGGAGTGTGTCCGGTATATTGTCGTTTAACAGTACTAATGTCTGGCATTTCTTAGCATCCTCTCACATGGAAACGTTGCAGACTAGTGTCATTCCGCAGCTACAGTAGTAAGGGTTACTGAACAACATCTGGTTGCAGCAGGCTGGATCACCTGCACATTCGGAGCAATCAGTTCGGGCCTAGCAGAAAGACAGTTTCGGTGAATGTTGCATAAGTCGCGGAGGACGGAGAGAGTAGTTTGCGCAGTCACTGGATCTGAATCCCATTGATTATTTCTATGAGGATACTTGAAGCACAAAGGGTATGGAACAAAACACAACTGACTAGATGAACTATAAGACATCCTTGTGAATGCAAGGAACTGGAATTCCTAGCAAACATTGCAGAAAGTGATCACCAACAATATCCGGCGAACGCTGCTCTGTGGCCGAAACGACGGTGGGCACTTCGAACACCTAATTTGTTAATATTTACAGACATTTCACACATTGCATGTAAATTTAATTAAAGAAATACATAAATCCATATTCTCGATTTCACACGAGAATCACCATCGAAGGCATCATCAATTCGTACAATAAGCAATTTTCTGACAGTGAAGACAATAGTTGCATTCATGCTTAGATTGATGTGCTGTCTACTGGTGCCACAAATGCGTCGGAAATCAAACAGCAATGTCAAGTCAAGTCGCCAAGTTTTGGTTTTAATTTACGCATGAAGGGTGAATTTTCACCTATAGCACGCACACGATCGAATCGATAAAACGAATAAGACTGTAATCTTAGAAAGTGCTTTTGGCAGTATATTTCCCCTTAACAGCGAATGCAATGTACTGAAAGCTTCCAGGTTTGCTAGAAGCTAGTCATGAGGTAATAACAGCTTCCGTCATTTTTGACTTTTTCCATGTTTTGCGGTAGCAAACGGCGCCCATCGGTCATTGCATATGGCTTGGCAGTTCTTTTCAATTGCATGGATAGCAAACCGCTAGTCCTTTCACATGAATCCCTTTTTCTGGCTTTTCCAGCCATGTGAAATCCGACTACCAATCGATCGAAGAATGTCACGTCTAGTGCGGCTTCGGCGTTTGGCTAATACTCACTTCTCATATCCCGAACGGTTCGGTTTCCTTGCTGTGCCCTGCTATCGCAACCACACGCATCCCGCCTCTGTGTCCCGTCTCATCCCTGCCGACACCTTCGGTAAAGCAATTGGCGCCATTGGACAGTTGGAAATTCAGCGTGCTGGGCTACGTCAGCACGTGAGCGCAGTCGCTGCTAGTTTCGGAAATAATTACTAAAACACCCGGTAGCACAATTTTACGGGTTATAATTAAGCAGTGAGACCATCGTTGCCACTGGGTCAACTAGTAGTACTTTTAGATTTAAGAAGACGGAATTACGATACATTATGAAATGGGAACTATGCATTCGCATGCTAAGCACATAGAAGATGACGTTTGCGGTTGCATGATGCAATGACACGCTTATTAAGGGCTGAGATTAAAATCATCTACGTAAATTGCTACTGTGCTTCAAACACCTACAACTTCATCTTTGGACACGACAATTATTGCATGCAATGAGGACAATCCCATTCGTAGAATGTGCCCTACCGTACGATGCTTGTGAACGCATCGTGAACAACAATTCGGTCACATATTGATCTAAATATATCCAAAGTTGTCTCATGTGAAATACAATCACAGAGAATAAAATAATAATTCCGCATTTCAAGTTATCCACTACGCCTGTCATTAACATTTTATTGGTAGCCGAGAGTAAAACAGGTGAAATATACGTGTGCCTCTGTCATATAAAGGAGTGTCAAACTGATCCCACCAGAACTGCTTATGAACAAAGAGATAGACTCTATTATTATGCCGAAATACTCACTTTTGCAATTGCGTCGAGGTAATTCCAAAACAACTGGCCACCGTTAAAACGCAGTCCTTGGAAATCACCACACCTGTACACACCCTTGGTTCCTGAGTAACTGGCCTCCGTACGTTTTCAGTTATCCGAGTCAACCAAGTGTGCTCCCAAGTTGTCAATGTCCGACCTCCAATCATGCGTTTTTGAAGTCCAACGGTTTTAGCTGTGATGCGAAAAGATGTAGAAACGGATTACCTCATCGCTGGGAATTCAAGGGATTTCAGGATGGACAGTAAATGGGAACCATTGCCATCAATTGCTTCGGGTCTATCACCTATGAACTCATTCATTTGATGTTCAGGGAAGCATATGTGCAGCGCGATCTAACGATAACAACAGCCTTTCAAACCTATATGCTGCGCATCTTTACCTTGGAAACCGTTGTAGAGAGATGAGTTAGTCACTTGGGTTATTCCATGTAAGTTGACATGAACATCCCTTGCAATCGAGCGATGGTTGTTTAAATATGCGGATTCCGCATACCAGTGTGTGTGTGTGTGCATGGTGGTTTTAGCTCCTTCATTTTCACGATCGCATGTTTTGGAAACAAACTCCTGGGTACTTGTTCAGGTGAAGTCAAATTTATCCAGATAAACACCACATAATCGTTGTCTACCTATCTATCTAAAGCATAAAAGTCACCTACTCGAATCTGTCTTACCAACGATGACGGTGATGAGAAACGACCAAATTCCCAAGTGCATCTTCCTGAAAGAATAAAGGAATGGTTTTAGTGAAACAACGTATCTAAAGCAACTCGCGATACGGATTTGAATCTAGAATCGACTGAAAGTGCAATGATGCAGCAGTTGGAAATGCAAATGAACAAGGTTACATTCAGCGGTGCCATCTAATGAGAAACTTACTGGTCTAAAGAGCAACAGCAGAACCCTTGGCTTGGATATGATGATAGCTAGTAATAAGTCGGCTTTATATACTTAGTTTTTAAGAACTTGTCGATTGGAATTGTCACCACAGACCAAACTGCTCTAATAGTCAACATACGAAAGGGTGTGCCTATTGGTCACTCGGTGCAGCATGTGAGTGGCTTTGCTGGCGTACTGAGATCCAGAGTCAGCTTAGCTACACGGAATTGTAGCTATTTTCTGTCCCTTATGTTTTGTGGTTAAGATTCGTTACATGAGGTCTATCGAAGTGGAACGATCGTGCGGCCCGTAATAGCATCGTTTTAATTTTCTCGTGAAATCATATTACAAACGCGTCAAACTAGATTCCATTGAATCGCATACATGACACGATGTAAAATCTACCGAGGTTATATGTTTAAGATGCAGACAAATACAAGTAGATGTCATCCGTCGTTGGCCTACTTCAGCTTTTGTATGCCACACAGTTCCCTGCTCCGTTAACATAAATCATAAACAAAAACTTGACAAAATTAATTATGCCATGAGTTGCGGCGTTCACACCTCTGAAGAAGGATTGGATAGTCGCCTCATCAACTCGGGATTGTCAGTAGTGTGCATTTCAACCGTTCCATTTCAGAATATATACCTCACTTAGGTTTACAAAGCTGCACTTAATGCAACTGAATCACAGGGAGATAACGATAGATTAGGTAAAATTTCGAGGTGCGATAGAGCAACGCGCTCTCACCGACGCCTTGCAGCATTTCAAGAGTAACAACTTGAGGTGTTATTCTTGGAATGAACTGGCTACAAACATAATCTCAAAGTACGGATTGACAATGAATAGATCACGGATGATCTCAATGATGAACAATAAACAGTGTTTTGTAAAGGGCAAAAAACTATTGCTTGACATGTCCCGTAGGATGGCTGGAGTGCTGCTTATAAAATGATTGTTCAATGACAGGAAAGAGCGGAAATAATAGTTTGAGATGACTCACCGACTTATTCACATGAACACATGATGATCTGTTCGCCGCTAAGTAACAGAGAGGGCTGGAGAGTACACTATTTATTCCTCATTTGATGAAAGCGAACTATGTCACGTTATTTAAATGTGACAGACTTCGGCCCAATGGTTTCGTAAAAAGCAATACCGTGGGGGCGAAAATAACGTGGAACTCAGTACGTTCCATGTTTTGGGTACCCGTAGCGAGAAAAGGTTTTGTCGTCAATCAAGTCGACTGTGATGCGTGGTCAGTTTAAGCTAGTGGCCCCTCAGTTTGGTGTTGTGGATGAATTGCAACTGTTCACGACATGCTTGATTGATGTTAATCCGAATTCTGTACACCATGCTAAGGTCTCGTAGGTGCAGACATGCGCCGCTGTACAAACCAATGGCTTACAGTGTGCGCTGTTAGGAGAGGGGAAACAGTCCCAAAAGGAATTTGGTCCCCCACGTTGTTCGTTTCAAGCGCACCAGCATCATGCGATAGTGTTCCACTAGTCCGTATTTCAAACGGACATAAAAAGGGGTATCTGTAAGTATTTTGTGTGAAAACGATTTTAACTGACTGAATGGAAGGACATTTGGAGTACACTTTGTGTGATTGGATTATGACTCGCAGTCTTCATGTAGACCGTAATTCACATTGAAGTGCATCACACAACGTGTACTCCAAATGGCTCTCCATTCAGTCATTAAGCGTTGTGTCAAGCGTTGCCCGTCATGACCCGGTAGCCGAAGGGGTCGTGGTTTC